TGTGTGTGTGAGTCTGAGTCTGTGTGTTCATAATTTATACCGTTGTGTATGCTTGAATGTAGATTACATTGGAGGGTACGCATCATGGACCGGTAACGAATACGCCCACTATGTTCGTAGAGATTGGTGAGTTTTTGATAAACCCCGTTGCTCTTATGCTTTTCATTCTGGAATTACATTGCATGATGCTATTTGTTCTTTTTGTTGGAAGGGAAAATTATACATATTTCCATTGCGCGGCATGAATTTTTACTTTCCTCCAATGCGTTTTTAGTAATCTTATTAACATTTTTTTTATACCTTTTGATGATCAGTTCGTAGAATTGATTTATTTCGTTCAAAGGGTAAAGTTTACTGCTTCTGCTATTTCTATTGTTGTAACTGCTCGGTCTGAAGTTTCGGCATATGACATGGTTTTTCGTATTTTTTACCATGCACTTGAGGGTTTCTTTGTTTTTTTTTATTTGTTCCTTCTGGTTGATATAGGCAGTACAGATGAGTACTGGAAAAGGCAGGATGCAGCACAAGTTATTGCTCTAGTTAAGTACACAGTTAACCATTTCAATCATTTGAGCAAGAGTCATTGATACGTCCTATTGTTGAATAAATACTTTCCTCTTCGTAATGTTTCTAGTTTTCCCTGATCTTAAAAATAATAGAATAAACGACTCATGAGAGTAAATTGGTGGCAATTTCTGTTCTTGCAGTTGGTTTGGGAAGGACTTGGGCTTGGAGGAGGAGCTGCTGTTGGAAACTGGAACGGGTATATTGATTTTCTTGAAAAGCTCATGTCTTTGTTTGCAATTTTAACCAAAGTTTGATGCTTTTCTAACTTCATTTTCTATATTATTGGCGATCTAGGGAGAAGGATAAGAATAAAATTCTTCTTGGATTAGGTGGTGGACATTATGCTCCTCGGCATATGGATATAGTCATGTAAGTTATAGCATTTTACAGTTTGCTCATATCCAGCTTTATTCTTTGTTTCCTTCTTTTGCGGTTTGATGCATCACTTATTAACTGTGAACTGAACCTCATCATTTTGATTGATTGTGTTGAAGTAAATAATAGGTAAATAATCCGCTAAAAACAAATGGGATTACCAGACTATAGATGGCACTTTCTTCATCTCTCTCTCTCTCCCTTCCCCCCCCCCCCTCTTTCTCCTTCCCTCTTCTCGCTTCCCCTTTCATCTCTTTGAAATTTGTATGCGTTGCATTTACCTTTTTCACATGTGTTCTGTGAATATCTTATACTAGTCTGATTGCTGTCTGGATTTAATATGTAATGTAGAAATATTTATTGATGATAGATAAAGTGGAGAGATTTGGTTTACTCCGTGAACATAGTCCCGTTCTTTGCAAGTACAGGAAAGATGGGGTGTGGGTAGGCCATCTACTTTCGGGTTATTCCTTGCCGATGGAAGATCCAAATCAGTCCAAAGCAGGAACAAATGCAAAAGATACGAAGGACATTGGTGGAACTTGGAAACACGCAATCAAAGCAGCATTTGAGGCTACCCAGTCGGCTTTCCCTGGTGGGGAAGTTATAGCTCATCTTGATCAAAAGTAAGTTAGGTTTTTGTTAATACATGACTTGCATATCAAACATTTTTAGGTCCTAAAAGATGTAATCTGAAACACAAGAAGGTTGAAAGCTACAACTCTTAGGCAAGCCGACGTCTGTTGATTGCATGAGAGATTTTGTTGAAAAGTTATCTTATACAACTTTTGATTGTTGATTGCAGGAGTTTTAAAAGCTGGCAAAAGAACGCTATAACGGCTTTCTTAGGCGAGCAGAACATCAAAATTGGCAAACCCAACGATTTCTACTAGATTCGATGAATTGCTTTGCATATATAGTTTGAGTTAACGGTTTCTACTAAAACTTGGATGAAGCAGCAAGCAAATATGAATTATAAATGAAATACATATTTTTCCAAATCAGTTTGTCATTGTGATGTAACGTTGAATCTGACTTCTGAGGCTTGAGTTGAGCCCACGAAAAATGCTTGGGCCTATGGGCTTCATCATAAAAAACATGGGCCGCCTTGCGCTGGAAACAGAGAGCTAAAAATTAATGAAAATTATGAAGACCCAATGCAAGAAAAAAATTAAAGAGCACAGCACTTGGCTTGGCTTTCGGAAGAGTTGCTTACAACGGGATGCCACTATGGGGCGATTCAAGTCAATTAAGTACTGATATGCTGTCACTTAGTATTATACTTTAGTGATATTCTTCTTCACTTGTAAGTGAGAGGTTTTAAGTCCTATTCTCGCCAAAGACGAATTTAAACCATATTATTATAGCTAGTCCAATGTGAGGCTTAATCCACCACGTCTTTAGTGTAGATATTATCGTTTGTTAAAAATTAAAAAGTACTGATATGTGTTTTAATTTCAAGACATAGTAGCACCTAAGTTTTTAAATGCCGTCACAATGACACACTCAATGCATAGAAGTTCTTTCGAATCGTCTCATCATTGAGGCACTAAAATATAGTGAAATAAAAATTAGCATTTGGCCTTTGTGAATAAACCTTTCAAGGGCGTTTGTTTCACCTTCTTAAGTGGGACTGGACTGGCTGGGATTATTGTCCCATGTTTGGTAAGCTTGGGGACTAACTTAAATGAGACTAGCCCGGACTCGTGTGGACTATCTCCCTCGCTAGGTCGTCTTAGCGAAGCTCCCCGAAAACCATAGGACTGCTAAGACTTTCTTCGTCTCCTTTGCGCCGCTTGGCGTCCTCCCTATGCGAAGACCTTGCTTCATCTACGTTGCGTCTTCTCTCCAACGAGATAACAGCACCACACCAAGACCATTCCCTCGTTTCAAATCCGAGAGAACTACGACAATATTCTCGGCGACCCGACCAAATTGCACCCCTTGCCGTCTGCAACTCCAATCCCTGCCCATGCCTATACCCAGCTCCACCCACCCATGCCGTCTGCAACTTCAATCCTCACCCATGGAAGAACAAGTGAAGTTGGACGGGAAAAGAGGTAAAAGGAAGAGAGAGAGGGATTTGAACGGAAAAACAAAGGGAAGAGAGAGAGGAAGCTGAACAGGAAAGCTCACATGGCTGCCATTAAATTGGCGATTAAAGCTTGAGAGGGAGGGGTTGGGGTTTTTTGGGGGAAGACGGTAGTACTGAGAAAAAGAGGGAGAAAAGGCAGAAAAAAGGGAGAGGGGAGGGAGTCAATGGGCGGAGATAAAAATGAATAAGGGAAGAAGATGATTCTAGCCAAATGATAAAATAATAATAAAAAAGTTAGTAGATTAGATTAAATTAATGATAAAATATTGTATATATAGATTTAATAATATAATATTAGAATCCTGCTTCTTAATCCGGCACTGCATCAAACGCTTCACTAAGTCAGTCCAGCTTAGTCTAGTCTAAGCCAGTCCAGCTTAGTCCTTGAAGCTAGTCCAGTCCGAGATAGTCCGGTACAACAAACGCCCCCTCAATGGTCTGAAGTGCTGGATTAGTCTCTGTAGGTGTATTTTATCATTGATTACGTGATTAAGTTTCTTTGAGTTGACAATTAATAATTATTAATGACAATTGCCAAAAGCATGCATGAACCACCACACTAAAATTAGGGTTCGTCATGCCTTACATAGACAGTCTTTCTTTGGGTGGAGGTCCACTTTAAAGTTTGAGCTACAAGATTTTTTTTTTCCTCTCTCTTTATACCTTTTCTCTTTAGACGACAGTGCTGATAATGATGGAGTGAGTTTGACAAATTATTTGTGTTGTCACCTTAATAATGATTAAGCTCTCGTTTAACGATCGTTTCGTGTTAGTTTTCATTTGGAGGTAGGAAGAAGAGGGAAGGAAGGATGGTGGTGTACATTTCACTGGCGGAGCCACTAAGGAACTATCAGAATGGTTCCTAGCCAACCTTGCCTTTCTTTTTTCTTGCTACTATAATCAGTTTAGTACCCTTAATATTCAAGTGTGTTTTAAATCGAAACTCTTTTCAGTTATAGGTCAGACCTCATTTTCTCTCTATCCCTCTTGTTAAAGTGCAGTCTTCACTTCTCTTTATTCTATCAAGTTTCGCCACTGAAATTATAGCTCCGCCACTGAAGCGTGAGATCCTCCAACACATGAAATTATAGCTCCGCCACTGAAAGTTGTAAAATAAACGTATAAGAAAAGGCATGCAAACTAAAAACTTAAAGCCATGTTAAGTTGTTTCCATTCATTCTTTTTCTTTCTTCCCTCCTTCCACCCTCCAAGCAAAAAAAAAAAAATACAGAAGCTAAAAACAAAACAAAAAAGTAATTATTCAATTTGTAGGGAGAGATACACTTGTATGACTCAATTCAAGGACTCCAACTTTCTTCCAATTCACTTACTGAAACTAGAAAAATTCCCTATGTTTTATCATTTTATTTAGTTAACCTAATATTCAAGACTATATTATATACCCATATGGTCCATATTCTAAAGCATCAACTCGAATTAATTATCACAGTTTTGAACATCGAAACAGATCTGATGCAAATCGAAAAGCAAGAGCCTAAGGGAGCGAGAAAGAGAGACAGGGTTGGTGATTCAAGTTACTTTCACTCCTTCGATACTTTCAAGGCTTGACTATTGCCTTTTTTAGTAGTGATCAAACTTTCCTAGGAAGGTGGAACTAGTGGTAATTTTAGTCATTAGAGTTGGATTACTGATTTGCAGAGAGGATGACAAAAAATATTAAGCACTAGTTTATCATTACTTATATGGAATTAATAATTCAATTTCTCATTAGTGACTTATTCCAACGTTTATTAAACATGAGTACTGAGATTATTATAATTCCAGATTTCTCCTATGCTACACATGGAAAAAATAGAGATGAGTTACTACTAGGTAACTATTTGATATGCGTTACGTCAAGGTTTATTAATACTAGGGAACTAGTTGATCCCATACATTTCCCTTCTTTCACTTCCTCATTAATGACTTCTCAACCCCAAATAAATAAAGATGTCATAAGCAGTAATAAGCAAACCCAAGAACCTTTTTTTTTTTGTCACAAGGTGACGTTTTATTACCAACACACCACATATACAAGAGTGGAGGCCTTAAAAACACATAAAGCACACAACAACATTGGCACCTCCAACTACAAACGAAAAGCACAACCTAAAGATGAGCTCTAAACAGAAAAACACACAAAGAACCCTCACACACAGATAATGGATTGCCGCCGACCTTGGCTATGGCTAAAGCCAGTGACAAAACGATTTACCAAAATTTGAAAAACTCGCTCACAAGGAGACTCACACAGAGAGAAAAAAACGATGCAAACCCTAGAACTTTAGCCCGGAACCATACAACTTCTCTTGAGTAATGGAGTCTAGTTTTTTCACCATCTCAGTGGTCAAATAATTCGTCGAATCTCCAACTTCACCTTTCCTAAAGAATGCACTATTCTCCATACCGGCCGGCAATTTCCCACTTTTATTCACAACCAAATTGCTTAAATTGTCAAAACTACACAACCTTAAGATACCGTCCACAATTCCATGCGTCTCTTCTTCCGGGGAAAATGGGCACCCCAAGAACTCGGCCAGCCTCCTCAGTTGAAGAGCGGGCTCTTGTTTCATTTCCTCAAACTTGATGAAAAATGCACTTTCAGGTCTCTTTAAGCTCTCGTTCCAAAACCCCAGTACATGATCCCAAAAGGGTCCGAACGAACTCACTCCCCGGCAGAACTTATCGAACGCTTCGTGAAGTGACATGGTTCCACTACCCACGGGTCTCAGTTTGTTCACGAAGTGCCAAAGTGAAACAAAAGCATCTTTAGGATCTCTAGACAAGTAAACAACTTTGCAACCGGAATGTTTGACAGAATCCGGCAGAGACACATACGGTAAATGAGTCGAAAAGAGCCTCGGAGGGGCCAGGGAGGAGAGGTCAGGAAGTACCTGTTTGTCAGTGTAGACATCTAACTCCAAACAGGGCACAAGAACATGAGGGTTTTCTGTGAGCAAAGGGTGTCGCCGAAGGTCCAGATAGTGCGCTCGTTTCACTAGGGCAAACAAAATTGCCATGAGCCAAGTCGTGCCTGATTTGGGAGTGGTAACGAGAATGATATCAGATTCTAGAGCTCGAAAGTGTTTCTGGCATGCCAAAACTCCCTGCATGTGCGCAGTTGCCTGCCAAAAACCTTGGTACTTGTGAAGGCTATTTCCAATCCAACCTTTTTCTGTAGGTAGAGAGGATATAAGGTCTTTGTCTTCTTGGCTAGGTTCATTTTCTTGCAAGTATCGGGGAACAACAGGAGGAGGTTGAGGTGTTTTCATGGTATATTCAGAATAGGATAGGCGCAGAAGAGGGGTGTTAAAGGTCGTGGCTGTTTTCTTCAAGGGTTAACTAGCATATATAGTTTGATCCAACATACAGTACTCAACCAGCCACAACATAATCTCCTGGCTCAAATTTTCCAACCACAAAATATTATAAAAGAAAAAAAAAAAGGACATTGCATGTGCATATAATGATATTAGGAGTTGGGATACTCTTCATATTGTTAATGAATTTTATGATAGAACCTCAACTTCTTTCATAATCTACCTAATTAACGTAACATGAGCAATATTAATTTAAAGAAATTCTAAAGGATTAATATGATTGAAATGATTTGATTTATGTGATTAATCTTGCCATCTTGGCACGGTATTCATCACTAAACCTGGGGCACATGCATGGTTGAAGAACTAAGGAACAGAAAGTACAGGTTAGCAGTTATTTTGTCAAATATGAATCACAAATACATACTTGGGGAACATGCATGGTTGAAGACCGGAGGAGCAGCTAGAGTGTAGCATATCAGTTATTTTGTTAACTGAATTCACAAATACGCACTGACGGGATCAGCTAGAGTGTTGGTATCACAAATATGGCATGAGTATTACCACTATTATGTTGTTTCATGTCAATTTATGTTCTTAATTATATTATTAGCGTGAGACTTTACAGTAACAATATATCGTGCTATGTAAATTGTTATGTATTCTTTTGCCGTCCACCCTAACCACAATCAAATGGCACATCTTGTCATTAGAGACTTTAGTTTGTTTAATGAATGTTAAAAAAAACCATAAATTGATTACTTTATTTAGTTTATTTACTGCATACGTTTGACATAAGACATTTTGCCAATAATCGAAGATATTGCAAGGAATCATTTCAATCGAAAAGCTAATTTGCTAATAATTGAAGATATTGGATGGAATCATATCTATTAAAAATTAAAAAGCTAATTTTAGTGGGAGTAAATTGTAGAAATGATCCCTTAACTTTAATCAAATTGGAGCAATGGTCCCTCAACTAAAATTTCATTACCATTGGTCCCTAAGCTTATCAATACGTGTAGTTATGGTCATTTTCGTCAACTCCGTCAGAATTTTGTCAAAATGAGTTTTAGTTGAGGGATCATTGCTCCAATTAGGTTAAAGTTGAGGGACCATTTATATAATTTTTCTTATTTGATTTTCCATATTTGCCTCTTGATTTAGCCTTACGTGCATGATACGTGACTCATTTTGACGAAAGTTCTAACGGAATTGACCAAAATGACCATAGCTGCACGTTTTGATAAGTTGAAGAATCAATGGTAATGGATTTTTAGTTGAGAGACCATTGCTCCAATTGGGTTAAAGTTGAAGGATCATTGCTACAATTTACTCTTTCAATGGCAGAGTTGGTGGTCTACTTTCAAAATTTATTGATTTAAGTACAATATGTTGAGTAATGTTAAGAAGACTACACATATTGGATCAAAGAGCAATCCATCATTGGATCAAGCTTCACATAACATTCTTTAATATATATATATATATATATATATATATATATATATATATATATATATATAAGTGTTAGGTACACGTAAACGTAAAATATTAACGTGATAAGGGTCGATGGCCTACAAGTTTGATTCCAAATCTTTTTGCCTATTTGGTATCATCCAACTCAATGAATGGTTTATGTTAAACTAACATTCATTGTTCTTAAATGTTTGTTTAGTGGAGGAGAGTTGACTTAAATGGCATGTGTATTACCATTATTATGGTGTTTCGTATCAGCTTATGCTATTATATTATTAGCACGAGATATTACAGTTACAATATATTCGTGCTATGTAAATTGTTATTCATTTTATTTTCGTCCATTATGTTAAACAGACGTTGAATGAAAGAATAGTATGTGCATTTTATTTTTGACACAAACAAAGATATCACATGCTTGGTGATGTGACACTTTTGTGAGAATTTTGGTTCTTCACCACATATTTACTAAGTCGAATGTTAATTATGGCAAGAAACGTAAGAAAACAAATTAGGGTTAAAGTGAAAAAGGAGAAAGGAATTAAGGCTTGCAAATCAAGCCCTTGAGTTCAGACGGCAACTAATCTTCTTGGCGACGATGACAATTCGTTGTAAACTTGGAGAAGAGTTGTATCATTGGATGTAACGTTTATTTGACAAAATAGACGAAAATGACAGTTTTCAAATGACAAAGTGAAACGAAACCAGATTTAAAAGGTGAATGAGACTAAATTGCAATTTTCACTGGACAAATCAATAAATAAGCCTAATGTTTAGAGGAATTGATTAATATGAAAATACATTGCACATATACGTCCTTGTATACGACATGGAAATTCACATACATTGGAATTAAAAATACTCGGAGCAATTTTAATTGCTCCATTTTTTTTCTTTCGAATAAGTGATTTTACTTAACCCTTCGGACTAATATTTTTCTTATGTTTGAGCTTAGTTAAGTTGGCAAATGCAGTATACTTCTTTTTATTTCCTCAAATTTGAATTATCCATCTTCTAATTTGACTGTTGTAAAGATATCATATTTACAACCGATGATGCTTTATTGTAGTGTCAAAAAATAATTATACTTATGCATCATAATGCAAGTTCAATCCTCACCGACTTCTCCACTCTTATAAACTAATTATTTAACTCATTAACGCTAGTATTAATATATAAAAAACATTTTTACACAACTTGTCAGATAATGATACGAATAAATAAAGGGAACTTTAACGAAAAGCTCCCAGTACTGTTCATTTTAACGAAAAACCAAATTTTTATACGAAAAATCAATCATGGTACTATTCACTTTACCCTTTATTTTGTCCTTATCGTTAAAATTCAATGTTTTCAAGCTATTTTCATTAGTTTTCCCATAAATGAAAATTGCAAGTCAGAAAACAAAAAGATCACTAGTGCACTAGTGTCAATCCTTTTTATATGTTTTTTTTTCGTATGTCTCCTTCTTTATTTAATTTCCTTATGAAAGTTTGAAATCTTTTCCTTCTATCAGTTTTTTTTGTTAACATTGAACAATGAACCAATAACTGGTATGTCGTTTGTTTATCTTCGTTTTCTTGTAATAGTTAGCATTTGTACATCCATTCTATTACTAGGGAAATCAAATTATTAGATCATTTTTTATAGAGCACATCATATAGTTTACAAAAAATAATCTAAAAATTTATTATCTCTAACATCACCGTGTGCAATATTCAACTGAAATGCAGATCCTGAGACGGGATGTAGCCCAACCGAAAATTGAGCCGAAGAGAAATAACATAGGAACATTAGCCAATCTAGTCCACATGAGTTATACCAATCCAACTAGAGGTGGCAAACCAACGCATTGAGTTGTTAATGGGTACCCATTAAGACCTATTTAATTTGATTTCACCTTACACCATCATCATCACTACTGATCTCACCTCTATATTATAGTTATATTAAATTAAACGGATTTTGACGAGTACCTATTAGCAATTCAATGGCTGATTTGCCACCTTTAAATCCAACCCATTCAGCCTAAAATATAATAAATTATTCCCATTGCACGTGCAAAGACATCAACTTTTCTCTTTGCTTCCTCTTTTGGTCTTTCGCCCTCTCTCCTCCTCTCTTAATTAAACTTGTCTCGTCTCTTCTACCTCATAAAAATTCATGCCTGCCATATTATAAGTTTATTAACAAACACTCAAAAAAACCCCGAGATCAATCTTTTTATGTCGATCTCTTTTCTTACCTGTTTTTATGCCCAAATTTTCTCTAAACAACGATATTAAATGTTTGTTCTTAGATTTTGGCTTCAAAGTTCAGGTCGCTCTAAGTTTAGATCCTAGAGCCGTCCTTGCTGATACTGTTTGGGTTGGTTGCACGGCACAAGCTGTAAGATGTAATCTGAAAATCAACAAGTTACTAGAATCACAGATAAAACAAATATAACTACAATAAACCAATCAAACAATTAAAAGGGAAATAAACTTATCTTCCAAAGTGGAGGAAGAAGAAGAAGCCATGACTGCTAGGGTTTCAAGGAGGAACTTCTACACTCTAGCAGCCGAGATTCCTTGTGCACAAAAATAGGGTTTTGCACTAGAATAGGATGATGCTGTGAGTGCAGGGACCTCCTAATATATATAGACGCTCATCCCTTTAATCCGGCCTATTAACTGATTAAAGGGATATTCCATATCCATTAGGATTTCATTATAGTCCTAAATGGTAACGAACTCTTTGTCAACTAAATAAGGTTTTCATAATTAATTGCACTAAATAAGGACTCCTAGACCTAACCAAATAAGGCTCCATAATTTTCTCAACCATTAACTCGGATTGACCAAGTTACTGTATGTCAAGAAACAGTAAGCACATGTTCTTTGACACTCACAACTTACATTCTCCCACTTGAGTGTCCAAGAACATGATCCTTATTTGGCTAAGTGGTAGGTGATCACTGAGTCCCACAAAATTTGCAACTATACCTTTAACAACTTGTCACTAGTAGTTTAAATATTGGATTATAGAAAATAACATGTAATTGCTTCTACATGTTTACTCTATTACCACGAATATCAAATTACGAGCACAATGTTGCTTGACATCATTCGTTAAATTCAGGTTGATAAGAAAAAGATCAACTCCTGAACTGAGCCTCATGCAAGCATGGCTCATATTTTCTGTCAATTTATAATATGATAAGAGGACAAGTAAAATATAACATACTATTTACAAAATTAGGACCTCTTATTAAACTTATGAACAAAACTTAAACAAAAACTCTTAAAATATCAGCCACTAACACTTCAAATTTTAAACACAAAAGGTAATCTCTTACTCCCACTGATTAAAAGAGACAAAATTATATAAATTATTATTACTCCCACTGATTAAGAGAGTAAAAAAAAAACTTTGTAAATGTCTACAAAATGAAAAAGATACCTTTCCAATACTCCCATTAGCAAGACATTAGTCATGGGATCTAAAACTTAAAATTTGTGAGCTCAACATCTTTATTCCAGATATCTGTAGGGAAGTGACTATTGTGACTGAAAACTATACAAAATCA